TCCTTCCCTCTGGAGCCGTCTTAGAGGATTTCCCAGGGTGCCTAGAGCTTAAGTGATTCAACAGTGGCCAAAGAGCTGGACTTGAGCCCTGATCATCCTGACTCCAGATCCAACCCTCTAGCCACTGCACCACCCTGCCTTTCCATATAAGGGAGAGCGTGAACTTTCAAGTCCCTTCCAGAGCTAAATCTTGCAAACTGTCTACACAGCCTTTGGCTTTCTAAGCTACAGTAGATGGGAGACTTCAGTATTTTATATTAGAATCCTGCAGAGAGATTTGCACCTCTTTTTTCATTTTTAATTTTCATGTAACACTATGATGTTGCCTATGTACTAGGACCTTAAACTTGAAGTCAGGAAACCCAGCAATGCCATTGGTTTTCTAGTGATTTGGGGCAAGATAGCAGTCTTTGTGCAGAACTACTCCTGTCAATGGACAAGAAAAGATAGCGGCACATTGGCTGAAGTCCCAGATCTCCCTCTAGTTGGGTATCTCTAGCCAAGCCTCATCAGCCAAGGATTCTACCAATTTCACATAGAAGCGATAGGCCTTTCCTCCACCCCGAGTGATAAGTAATCTGGAGCAGTGTTGTTCTTGTTGTTATCCGTTAGTCTTGTCTGACGCTTCATGATCCCATTTGGGGTTTTCTTGGCAAAGATACCGGGGTGGTTTGCCGTTTTCCTTCTCCAGCTTCTTTTACAGATGAAAAAACTGAGGCAAAGAAGGTTAAGTGACTTGCCCAAGGTCACACAGCTAGCAAGTGTCTAAGGTTGGATTTGAACTCAAGTCTTCCTGACTCCAAGGCCTGTACTCCATCCACTGCACCACCTTGTTGCCCCACAAGCTGGTGCTACAGACACTTAAACACAAGACATAATGCAAAAATAGAAAGATTCTTGCTTTGCCTGTCTCCTTCAGATGGCTGCCTGAGCCAGTCCCACAGCGAATTCTCCCTAACCCTATGCTTCTCTCCATAGTGGGTACAATTTTGTCAGTAAGACAAGGTTTCTTTCCGTCTTCTAGAAGACCTGACCTCAACTAATCAGAATCCAGCACTCCCCATTCCATGGGCCTATGAAAGCCACTGTGTCTTTTTTTTTTCTTTGTTTGCCCTATTTGGTCACTTGTAATTGGCCAACCCTTTATCCACCATGCTGCCTTTCAACATAAATCTTGCCTCCCATCACTCCCCTCTACAATCCAACTACAGAGGTAAGGGGTCTTACGGCAGAGGGAAATGTGGAATGATAAAGAACCGTAAAGCCAAGAGTCTTGAGGATGGCAGTGCCCCCCAGACCACCCAGCCTGCTTCCAGCCCAGTCCCTGCAGCCACCATTGAAGGGAGAAATCATTGCAGAGAAGGGGCCCACCTTACTCATCACCACCAGAAACAAATGCTGAGCCAATTGCTTTTTTGTTGTTATTATTCAGTTGAGTCTGACCCTTTGTGACCCCATCTGGGGTTTTCTTGGCAAAGATACTAGAGTGATTTTCCATTTCCTTCTCCAGCTTATTTTACAGATGAGGAAACTGAGGCAAATTAGGTTAAGTGACTTGCCCAGGGTCACACAGAATTTGTTGTCGTTTTAGTTGTATCCAAATCTCTGTGACCCCATTTGGGGTTTTCTTGGCAAAGATAGTGGAGTGGTTTGCCATTTCCTTCTCTAGCTTATTTTACAGATGAGGAAACTGAGACAAATTAGGTTAAGTGACTTTCCCAGGGTCACACAGAATTTGGTGTTGTTATTTTAGTCGTATCTGAATCCTGTGACCCCATTTGGGGTTTTCTTGGCAAAGATACTGGCGTGGTTTGCCATTTCTTTTTCCAGTTCATTTTACAGATGAGGAAGTTGAAGCAAATTAGGCTCAGTGACTTGCCCAGGGTCACACAGATAGGATGTGTCTGCAGCTGGATTTGAACTGACTCCAGGCCCCGCGCTCTGTCCACTGTGCCACTTAGCCAACTGCCACCAATAATCAGAGTCACCAGAGCCCAGGGAGGGGCAGCACGCCCTCACAGCCATCATCTCGAAAGGAAGCGCTTATGAAGAAGGGGCCCACCCTCCCCCCAACTGCCTACCGGCTGCCACCCACAGGTGGCTAAAGCAGCAAGGCCCCCGAGGGAGACGTGGGCGACAGCAAGTGCAGACAAGTCAGAGCACCACCCCCCGACCCCCATCTCCCTTGGCCGCTGATGGACACAGCCCAGGACCCTGAAGAGCAATGCCTCCATCTCAGTGCCTGCAGCCATCATCCCAGGGAACAACCCCTTGGTGACACAGCTTTGCCACTGCCCCCGCGGCCCCATGGGACCTAAACTTGCCATAGGGGTTGTCTTTCCCATTAGAATGTCAGCCCCTAGAGAGCAGGAACTGTTTTCATTTTCTATTTGTATCCCCAGCTGTGCATATAGTAAACACCTAATAAATGCTTCATTCATTCATAAAAGATAATGATCAAATAAAAGAATTTCGGGGTTCCCGAACATGGAAGGGAACATCCAAACTAGTGAACCTCTCCGGGTCTGTGGCTTTATGAACAGACAGCCTCTAAGGTGCCTTCCAACCCTAAACCTGTAAGCCTGTGCCTCCCTCCCAGTTCAGCTCAAGAAGCATTTATTAAGCCTTTACTATGTACAAGGTACTGTGCCAGGGCCCAGAAATATAAAGGTTAGAAAAAGGGCACAACCTTTCCCCTCAAAGAGCTTGCATTCTACCATGAGGAATACAGCAAGTCAGGAAGATCTGAGTTCAAATCTTGCTTCAGTCACTTTGCTATTGTGACCCTGGGGGAAAGGGAACAAGCATTTATTAAGTACCTGCCTTGTTCCAAGCACTGGGCTAAGGACTTTACACATATTATCTCATGTGATTCTCACAGCAACCCTAGGAGGTAGGTGCTGTTATTCATCCCCATTTTACAGATGAGAAAACTGGTACGGGTTAAGTGACTTGTCCAGGGTCACACAAGCTAGGATGGTTCTGAGGGCAGATTTGGAATCAGGTCTCCTTGACTCCAGCTCTGCCTCTCTATATACTAGAGAGATGAAAATACTGAAGGCCTCAGTTTTCTCATCTGTGAAATGAAGGGGTTGGATTTGACCTCTAAAACCTCCTCTGGCCCTAGACTTAAGGTCCTGTGACCCCCAACTCAAAGCTAACCTGTTCCCTCAGCAAGGGTAGCTTCACAACAGAGTGGGGCGGAGCCCAGGAAGATACAGCCCCGAGGCTTCTTGTCTTCCTTCAGAAACAAACTTAGAATGGCTTTGGCCATGAATAATGAATAGGACCAAGCACAGAGAAGCTGATGGCACATGAACCCTGGTCCCATGCCCAAGCCCGGGGCAATGGGGACTTTCTCTGGCTGGGGCAGCCTGTCTGCAGCCTCTCAACAGATGCTCATTTGGGAAGCTTTCCAAAGAGATTCGATGTCTCCACTCCTGTCTTGACTCACTGAAAACTTCACCAATTTACCAGCATGAGCTAATAGCCTGCTGGCATAAGAATGCACCCTCAGGTCCTCTTTTCTCATTTGGTTCTCCTTTTAATCTTTCTCTGTAAGCCTAGCCCGTGATGCAGAGGGAGGGACCAGATCAGAGTTCTTAACCCAGGGTCTGTAAATGAGTTTTTAATATTCAGATGGCCCTATTTCTATATAATTGGTTTCCTTTGGAATCCTACGTATTTTATTTTATGCATTTAAAAATACAGTTCTGAGAAAAGGTCCATAGGCTTCGACAGGGGTCTGGGATGCCAAAAAAAAAGACTAAAACCCCCTGGATTAAAGGAAGAGGAAAAAGGTGCAGGATCTGAGCTGATTTCTATGCCTCTAGCCAGCAATTCACAAAATCACAGGATCCTGGCTAGAGCTGAACTGGACCAACTCCTCCATTTTGCAGATGAAAAAACTGACTTGCCTGGTACTCTTCTAAGTGCTGGACATACAAAAGCAAAAATACAACAGTCGCTGCCCTCAGGTAGCTTTCACTTGAAGCGGTGGAAGGATGCTAAGGACTCTTAAATGGAGGCCTCATAGATGTAGCTGTATGGGGACCAGGGAAGGGGGTGCAAAACATGTGCAAAATGACTTGCTGAGGCTGACTCCAGCAGATTTGGGTCCAGGACAAGCAGTGCTGAATGCAGACCCTGAGCCATCTCTTGATTTTCACCCCAGATCGTTTTGTTATCAGCAGAAACCAACCCCCAAAAATCCCCAGAACCTCTCTCGGGGGCTCTATGGCACGGCGAACTGGCAGCAGGCCTGCCAGCTGACCTGGTTCTGTCCAAGTTTGGTTGGGGACTCAGAGTGATACAGAGCAGAACAAATCACCCAGAACCCAGCGTCTGTCTACTTAGTATTTAAAAAAAGGAACACTCCTCACCACCACCCCCAAACACATTTGCAATACACGCCCGAATCACTAGTGACACCCATAGCTCTCAGCCCTCTGAGTTTGGCACCAGCTTCTGACAGAGATGATCATTGTCTCTGGAAGTTAAGAGGACTGGGGCCTTCACCACAGACACTGCCACTCCATGAACAATTTACCTTTTTTAAAAATGTAATTGTCTGGAAACAGTCGGCCAGGGGAGGCAGCCTAGTTGTTGCTGGTGAGTTTCTGGGCACAGTGGATCAAACAGCGTCCAGATGCTGCCTGGCCTCCACCTCCAAGCCGTGCCCTGGCCAGGCTTTTCTGAGTGTGGGCATAAATCTGGGCCAAAGTTCCATTCCTCTCCTACAATGGATCCAAGTAGCTGCCTGGGGGCATCTAGTCCCTAGGGCATTTAATGCCTGGATGCCACATTTCTCCCTCTTCCCCTCCTAGAGAGGCTAGGGCCAGGTCCCCTCATGATCATCCCTGCCATCCCTCAAACGGCATCAGCACTCCCAGATCGCAGAGTTGTGGTGCATCTGGTTGTCATTACCAAGTTGGCTTCAATTTTCTGTGATTTCCCCTAATGGCTTAATGAAATCCCTGTGTCTCCATCTTGTTTTGCAGAGCCGAAGTCGTACTGGGAAATATCATTAAGAGGAAGGGATGGAGGTAAGGAGCGTGTGTGTGTGTGTGTGTGTGTGTGTGTGTGTGTGTGTGTGTGTGTG